CCGTCTAACATACTTTGGACATGTTGTGAGGAGAGACCGGTCCTTAGAGAGGGACATCATGCTTGGGAGGGTGGAGGGACGGCGCAGGAGAGGAAGGTCCTCTATGAGGGGGATTGATTCAGTGACTGGGGTAATCGGGATGGGAGTGTCAGAGACAGTGCGATTGGCACAGGACAGAGCGGAGTTTAGGCGACTCGACGACACATAACAGCAACAACATCATTTTACTTTATTAACTATAACTGCAATTCCATCTTTTTTGTATTAATAGAATTTGATAACATTTTGTTTCATTTTAGATTGTTGTTATTGTTGGTAGGAGCCTCAACTCATAACACCCACATAACCAATAGATCTGAACTCTTGCCTATCCTACACTATCCTTATTATCCCTCATAAATCTGAGACCTTTGTTGCCAAAACTGTATTAGCTCATTTCATTAAGGATCTTCCTCTCCTTCCTTGACTCTCCACCTTTCCAAGTTTGATGTCCTTTTCAAAGAAATAGACTCTCCTAACAAGGTGTCTCGATATGTGACATGAAGCTTCACCAACTTTTCCTCCAAGTAATATTCTGGATTGTTGTTGGGAAAAGTTACCCACATCTTTTTTTCTTTGATTTCTGTGTTTGTGGAACTTTTTCCCTGTACATATGTATATGTTCCTCTCATCTTAAAGTCTAATTAACTTATTTTAGCTATTGTTTCAAAATTGAGCATTCTGTCATGGGACCTCTGTTAACCTTAGGCAACGTGGATTTCTTGTAAGGAGTTACAAATTTTTTATTCTCTAGAGCCTAGGCCTGGTAGATGCTTGTGGATGCTGGTCTGGATGGTCAAGGAATGAGAACTTTTTGGGGGTTGTGCTTCTTTTTGGGGTCATTTTTAATGTGTATTATTGTTCTTCCCCACCCCCACCCCCAAGAGCAGTTTTCCCTCAGCCTTTGCCTAGGGTTTAAGTCCACTCAAGGTGTTGGCTTAAAACCCCGCAGGGGTGGAGAGGAAATGCTGATGGAGGCCTGGAAATCTCCACTCTGGGAATGTGACTTTGTGACGCTTGCAGATGCTGATCGGATGGTCAAGGAAAGGGAAGTTTTGGGGGGTCGTGCTTCTTCTTGGGGTAATTTTTTATGGATATTATTGCTCTCCCCCCTAAGAGTGGGTGTCCCTCAGTCTTTGCCTAGGGTTTAAGTCCACTCAAAGGCATTGGCTTAAAACCCTGCGTGACACAACAGTCTTCTGTCTATTTGCGAACTGAACAACTTGCTGTGATGCTGCACACTGTTCCATAGCCTTGTCAAATACCATAATGGTTACCCATTATGTATGGTTTTTTTGTTTGTTTGTTTGTTTTATGTGCTTCCAGATTGACTTATGCTGGGAAGCAGGAGTGGCATCCACTTCCTAAAATTAGATGCCTCTGGAAACTCTACAAACTCTCTAAACTCTTCAAATGTACAGAAACGATTGTAGTTATAAAACAGAGTTATATACAGGAATGCTAGTCATAGAACAGAGTTTAGGTCTTTTGTGCAAAACTTACTCTCAGTCATATTCAACTTGACAACACTTAACCACTGCTAAGTGAAACTAGTGCTCTTATATCTGGAGGAACACTCTTCCACTTTGTACATCACTCTTTGTCAATGTGCAGTATGAAGTAACCTGGGTTGCTGTGATAGTGAACCTTGTGCCATTGGGGTATCAAATACCAGAATGACTTCCTAACCTGGACAGTGTTTGGTGGAGCTCCCAGTTGTAAAGCAGGTTTGGAAGTAGGAGTGGCATCCACTTCCTAAACCATATGCCTCTGGAAATTTTATGAACTTGGTGAAATGGCGACAGTTATGGAAAAGCAGTAGGTCTTTTGTTCATAGAGTCACTATGAGTCATGCTCAACTCGATGGCAGTAAACAACAACAAAGCCTAGGCCTAGATTTAAGATGACATTGTAAGTCCTAAATAAAACCTACAAAGGTTTAATGTTGTAAAAAAGGACTTGACCAGCCAATCTGTTGGTGGTAATTTACTAATTAAGAATGCCTTTGTTTACTTAATAACAAATGTTTAGATGATTAGATGATAACATTAGCATTTATTGATTCAGATATTTAAAAGTAACCATGCTTTTACTACAAATAAGCATATTTTATTGAATTCCTCTCTGATTTATTAACAATTTCTGCAATGCTTAATAACTGTGAGGAATTCATATTCTTTCTTAAAACATTGCCCTCAACTCCTATTTTCTTTTCTTTATAGTTCATAGTTTGAAGATTTTTTTTCTGTTAGCTGATTTTCATTTTATGCACACACATATGCATATACCTAAATATATACCTAATGCCATGAACACACACTCATAGTTCCTTTTATGGTATTGGATTTTTTTTAAATTTTTATTTCTTTATTTATTCTTTTTTTTTTTTTAATGTGTGTACCGTCAAATTGAATCTGACTGATACAGGAGGCGATTGTGCCTCCTTCTTCAGCAGAGCATCTGGTGGATTTGAACCGTGCACCTCTAGAATTGCAGTGCAGTTTCCTGCCACTAGGCCACCAGAATTCGCCTGGTATTGGGTTTTTATCTGTGCTTGTCACTGAATTACACCTAAAATATCCTTAAAAACCATAAATGCATATGTTGTTATAGATCATAGCTTTTCTATAAACAAATCTGAACCTGGTCCTGTCTTGTGGCACCCTTAACATCTCCAACATACTTAAGCTCCTTGCCACAGTCACCCTGTCAGTCCATCTTGTTGAGTGTCTTCCTCTCCTATGCTGACCCTTCACCTTTCTAAGAATAACATCCTTTTCCAAGGATCAGCCCCCTCCTAATAACATGTTCTAAAATACGTGAGATGAAGTTTCACCACCCTTACTTCCAAGAAGCACCCTGGTTCCACTTTCTCCAAAACAGACTTGTTTATCCTTTTGGCAATTCTTGAGAAATTTAGTACTCTTCTCTAACACCCACAGCTCAAAGGCATCGACTGTCCTGTCTTTGGATCAGGCTAAACTGATGTCCTTGCCCCTCAGTACTTTGGAGAGGCCCCCAACAGTAGATTTTCCCGATGCAATACATTCTTTTGATTTCTTGGCTACTGTAACAACGATGTTGATTGTGGATCCATGTAATATAAGATCATTGACATTTTCAATCTTTTTTCCATTTATCATGACATTGCTATTGGCCCAGTGGTGAATATCTTCATTTTCTTGATGATAATCCATACTGAAGGCTGTAGGCTTTGATCTTTTACAGCAAGCACTTCAAGTTGTCCTCAAATTCAGCAAGCAAGGTCGTATCAACTGCATTACATACGTTGTTAATGAGTGAGTCTTCCTCCCATTCTGATGACGCATTCTTCTTCATGAAGTGTGGCTTCTTGTATGATTTGTTCCACATACAGTTTGAATTCCATCTTCTCTTCCATTGCTTTGTCACCCCTCACCCACTTACACAGTGATAGGACTTGTACAACCAATTGGAATGCATCCTCCAAAAAGCTGTGTTGACCCCTAAGTCTGGTACCTGTGAATGTGATCTTGTTTGGAAATAGTCTCTGAAGATTTTATTAGCTAACGTGAGATCATACTGGAATAGTATGGTCCTTTCTCCATTCTGAGTGGTGTCTATATAAGAAGAGAAGAGAAACAGACAAAGGAAGAATGACCATGTGGTGATACATCTATAAGCCTAGGAACACTAAAAGAATCTTCCACTAGAGATTTCAGGGATTCTATGGCTTTGCTGACACTCATATTTGGAATACTGGCCTCCAGAAATGTGAGCCAATAAATTTCTGGTCTTATAACTTACCCAGTTTGTGATATTTTGTTATGGCAGTCTCAGGAAACTATTACAACTCACCATGCTGTTCTTATTCACATCAATATTTACCAGTGCTTGCTCTGTGTGCCCTGAAAAGAACTTTCCCATGCTTAATTATAAAGCATACTACTAGGGAACAGAGGATTAGGATGCTTTTTGTTCATGAATGCCACAAATATAACCAATAAGCTTTGTTTTTAAGGTTATGGATTTCTGTTCACCAATAGAAGGATGCATTTTTCTGCAACTAGAATGTACTATCTGGACCATAGGTAGTAACTTTCCTCCTCTCAGTCATTCAAAATGTTCACACCTCTTAAAAAAACTACT